CCCCGTCCTAACATCCTTCAGGATAGATGCTCTGCATGGGCAAGAACCCTGCAGATCCAAGATGGGTTGAATTAGGGACCTTTTTGATTGTCTCTGGAGTGCCAATGCCTCTGGGACCAGGAGATGGGAGGCTTTGGGAATGCAGAGCCCTTCATCTCCGGAGAGCAGTAGTACATGAGGCACACTGGGCACAACGTGGCTGATTCCCAAAGAGGACAAAAGTTTGTGCCTATTGTCTGAAGCAGAGCAATCAATAATCTGAGCATCACAGGAGCCTTTCTCATGGCTGTTTGGATCACCAAAACAACTTCTGCTTCCTCCAGCCCTTCCAGGAAGAGGCCTGCCCTTTCTTTCTTGCCTCCTTCCCAGACAGGGGCACACAGGAGCATTCCCTGTGCCTCAGCTCTCCCCGCAGCAGCAGTGAAGGGGTGCTGCTGCTCCGAGCACCCCCTCGCTCTCCCCCTCTCCACATGCTCCCAGCTCCCGCGCAGCGAGTGGGGGCTGCGCTGCCGCTCCCCCCACGGCTCCCAGCGCTGACGTGGCTCTCCCACCCCCGGCCAGGCCCACGGCTCGGAGCGGATGCTGCCATGGACCGGTGGGACAGATAGGAAAGAATGAAGATGCTCTTCTTGTCTGTGGAGGAGAGCAAGATGCTTCCTCTCGCCCCTGACATTGAGACCCAAAAATCCTGCTGTGCTCCACAACAGTGAGCCACCTCCTCTTGGGTTGCTCCCAATTCATCTCACCCTGTTGAAAGCAGCTACGAGCTGCACAGATACACCCTGAATATCCACATATCAAATGTATTTTACCATAAGAGCCCCCATCCTCCCCTGGTGAGGCTGGGTAAAGAGTGAGGCTTTCTATACCGGGGACATCTCCCTACCTCGAGGGAGCCCAGGGGTGACACACGCAGGCCACCACCGCCTGCCTAGCAGCATCTCCGCAGTGCCATAGCAACAGCTGAGAAGTAGGGAGGCCCAGATGGCAAACTCCTCCGTCTGTCCTTCCCCACGCACGGTGCCGGCGCACGCAGGCGCTGCCCACGCTGCCAGCGGGGTGAGTCCCCGGCCCG